TCTATCTATCTATATATATATATATATATATATATATATATCGCTCTGCGCATGTGTGTGTGTGTGTGTGTGTGTGTGCCAACCACTTGCAGGTTTGCGGCATCGATTATCATCCAACAGAGTGCTGTATGATGACCTGTTCTGTTGACGGTACCGCAAGACTATGGAAGTGAGAAGTCACCGTTCTCTCTGTATGCTGGGCTGACAGCGAACATCTTCCCCATTCTCCGATCTGTTCATGCAATGTGTCGCATCTCAAACGGCCACCACGTTTTTTAAGAAACCTCATGCATGCAGGTTGATTGTTAACTTCAGACACAGGGGGCAGAGAGAGAGAGAGAGAGAGAGAGAGAGAGAGAGAGAGAGAGAGAGAGAGAGAGAGGTTGATCTCTCTCTTTTTTTCTTCTCTGCGTTCCTAGCAACTGCTTATCGATGTGCTCTAGATGAAGAGGGGGCAGGAGGAAGTAGCAGCAGACATACAGTGTCCAATGTTGATGCTAGATGCTCAGCTGAGTCCTGTATATATGCTCCGCCTCCATTATCTCTACGTCATCAGTACTTTTTAGGGCAAAAGATCCCAATGCAAAGCGGATCGCCAGTGTGAACACATCCGACCACAAACACACTCACTCCTGAGTCCTGTGTGAATTACTGTACCATTTTCTTTTTTTCTTTTTTTTTAACTGTAGCGTTTTCTGGTGTGCACACACATTGTCAGTGTGAATTTGTGAACACGTTTTCCACTGTGAACCTTTTTTCTTTTTTCTTTTTTTCTTTTTTTGGAAATATGCTTCTCCTCCTCGGGGGACAGGCACGTATTGTTCTCTCAGCTCACGTATTCTTTATAACTGGCGTTCTCCCATGTCATGGAGCATATCTTTCGTTCACTACCTAGTACCTAGTACCTACCTACCACCACTCCTAAGGCTATACAGGGGACCCCCCTGCAAGCATAGCTTTCTACCTCTCTTCGGTGAAGAAGGGAGGTTGTTATCCAACTTATCCCATAACAACACTGGAATATTTATTAAAAAAAAACGAAAAAGAAATTTCAAATTTATTAAATTAATATTAATTTAAAGAATTCCTGCTTTGACTCATTCTGCCCGGCGCGCGTTATTTACTCCAATGGTCACAGTGCCCATTACTGGAGAACTTGCAGCCCCCTGAATCTGCTACTCTTTTTTTTTTTTTTTTTTTTTTTTTTTTTTTTCAAAAGGGCAACGGCCTTGAGATATCACCATTGAGCTGACCGGCCCAATTCAGGCAATTCAGAAATATTTTATTTGGTTGTAGTACTCATCGAGTTCCTTCATCTGGATTCTGGATTCGAACTCGGGTCTTTATTTCAACAGTTCATGGGTGTACCCACTGTTTGAAAAAAAAAGCAAAAAAACAAAAACAAATGGCACTGCTCCGAATAGAACAAATGGCCCTTATGACTCTCCTAGACTGAAATTTGGTCCAAATACAGTTACCATGACCATGCATTCTATTCAGGGGAAGATTGTAGCCCCTTGTGAGGACCCCCAATCGGTTACATTAGCTTTTGTTTCATGTCTCTTTTTTTTTTTTTCTTTTTTTTCTTTGTGGAAATCTCTGTTCCTAGTGTCTTGATGCCAATTCACGACTTGACAGAAGGCATAATCACAGTGGGGCTTTTCTTCGTTTAAAAAAAAAAAAAAAAAAAAAAAAACTTGCCCCATCTCAGCCATCTGTTTTTTTTTTTTTTTTTTTTTTTTTTTTTTTTTGAGGACCATCACTCCAATTAGTTTTTGCTGGCAAGCATAGGCACAGGTCTGGCTGAAAAGATAAATTCGAGAGCCAAAGGAGGAAGGAAAGTAAAACAGAGCAAAGAAAAATAGTAAAAATACTAAAATAGTAAAAATACGGCTTTTCAGGATGTATTTCATGGTAACCCGGCCCAGGTTCAGCTGAAAAAGTCCTTTTGTGTGTGAAAGTGCCCTTATTTAAAATTAAAAAAAAAAAAAAAAAGTTGCCCTTTTTACTAGTTATTAGAAGATAAGTGATTCCAGACGCAATAAGAATTGTCTATGCCATTGTGCGGCAACATCGACGATGATAACTTTGTTGATGATCTCTCTCTCTCTCTCTCTCTCTCTCTCTCTCTCTCTCTCTGGCTGCCACACCCTGTTGGAACCGTGATTCCTTGAACCAAACGTGAAGTGGGGCCCGTCTGACCCCCAGACTCGAGCTGAGAGGCTCCAACCCACGAACTGGCACCCAACAGACCATCGTGTGAGCAGACAGTCCTTTCTGTGCAGTCCTGGCCTTGTTTTTTCAACCCAACAACAACAAAAAAAAAAAAAAAAAAAAAAAAAGAGAGTTTTCTGTCCTTGGTATTGGGGATTGCGGAAGTAGAGCCATGAACAATCATCATATGAGTTGTACACTCGTGTGCGCGAACACATGAGAGTAGTCAAAGATTAGACGATGATAGCACAACGCCAATCCAGCACACGCCTGGATTTCGGTTTCCACCGGCAATCCAGCTCACGCCCGGGAAACTGCTACTCCACCTAGCATCGGCACAACCTATTATCGTCTGGACAACAATAGGTTTGCCGGCTGCAGGACCTGAGAACGGGGTTGCTAGGCCCAAGAGCTATCCATCCTGGGAACGGGCAAGTACAGGTCCGCGTCGCAAGTTCCCCAAGAGCTCTCCATCCTGGGAACGGGCAAGTACAGGTCCGCGTCGCAAATTCCCAACAGGCTGTAGGTACCCGGGGCTAGGTCCCACTTGCACGAATTAAGAGGTAGAGACCGTAGATAGCCGAGAGAGATCAACGGCCGAAATCTCCTAATCCGTGCAAGTGGGACCTTGCCCCGGGTAAAAAGTGCCGGGTCCGATCACTAGCCAAATAATACTGTCCCGACCGCAAATCAAATTCAGATGGGTCCGATCGCTGTCGGTACCCTGTAACAAGTGCGGGGACGCTAGGCAAAAGGCTGTAAGTCAGACCCTGGCCGAATAAGCAGAATCGGGACGCAGTTGGTGGTGTGCGACTAACCAGAAAGCAACTCAACAGGGCACCACCCCGTCCGCACATATGTACTATAAACATGCATGAAAAATGAAGTCTTAAAAAAACATCGTCGGTACCTGTGTGTACCGTCCCAAATTGTCTAGCACAGTGGTAGTATATTGGTGGCTGGTAGTTTTAGGCTTTTCTTTTGGCAGACGGACACTGTAGGCCGAGGCAAGTAGCTGGTGCTGTTCAAAAAAAAAAAAAAAAAAAAAGAAGACAGAAGAAGAAGAAAAAAAAAGAAAAAAAAAAAGAAAGCAGATGATTTGCATATTGCTCAGGGCGCCCGGTCCTTCAATTTTTTTTTATTTTTTTTTTTTAACTATACTCCTCTCAATTTTTTCCTCACACTACCTACC